AAAACCATGAAGGCGAGCCAATGGATATCACACAAGCAACATGCAAACTTTGCGCAAGAGTTATGCCGGTGAACATTTTAATCTCAGACAATTCACTATGTAGAAATGAAAGAGACAACGAGAGACGAATCAACATATGCTGATAACCGTATATAGCTAATTGACTTTATTTATTCCCTTAATATTTTCTCTTGTGGCCCGTACATAGCGGAAAAAATATGAGAAGAAACGTATTTTGTGTTAAATAGCTTGTTTTTGAAAGTCGTGCTTAAAATAAAGTTATTTATTTCATTGATTTTTATTGATGACTGCAGTGTTAATATTTTAATTATAGACATATAATTCATTGTATAATAAACCTGTTTTAAAATACCTTTTTTTTCATTGAGTCAATAGCCTTATATTTTGTCATCCTCGCAGTGGGATTTTCATTTTTAATAATAAAAATAAGAATGTAACAGGCCTACATTAATTGAAAAAATGCAAAATCCTCTTAATATTGCCAATAATTGATGTTTTTGACAATATCTTTATGAAAAATACTTTTTATTTTAATTTTATTTTTATTATAGATATGAACACATTATGTTAATTAATAGCCATACATTTCCTTATGGATTTTTTTTTTAAACATTTGAACATGTTAAAGTAATGTATTATGTAATAAAAAATATTTTTTATGTTAAAATAATGTTTATGTATCTGGACACAACATGGCAATGAATAGCCTTGCAAAATATTATTTTGTTTTTTTTGGTGCAAAATGTGACCTATGTTTTCATGAGATTCTCCCATATACTGCCATATTACTGAGCTTTATCAAGTCTAGTTAGACTGGCAGGTTTGTGTGAGTGAGGTCTGTGGGGATCACCATAACTCAGAAACGGGGCCGGTGTGTGACAGGTAACACTCCAGGTGAACCTGCTGCATCACCATCTGTGCTCAAAGGAACACGAGAGTATTTCTATTGTCCTTCTGCACAAAGAGCCGCGCCGCCTGCCAGCCTGGAGCTGGACGCAACACTTTTACTACACTGTACTCATGCAGCCAAAACAACATGCACAATAAAGAGAAGGGGGTCTGAATACTTTCCGTACCCACTGTATATATATATATATATATATATATAACATTTCTGTCCCCCTCACTTCTGCAATGATGGCTACGCCCCTGCTGCAGACTATAACCAGTGAGAGCTGATCACTCGTAGCAAAATGACCAGGAGACACTGTAACGCTCAATTATGGGCAACTGTAGGAATTCAAATCTCCTTAATATCGTTTTTTTTTTTAAATGGTGAAGACTTTTAGACTTTTACTTCCTGCTTCTCAAGTTTTTTGACAGAGAAATGCCCCAGTAACCAAATAGAAAAGTCCCAACTCAACAATGCAACAATGTCTCAAACTGTACTCAGATTTGCAGAGCAATAATAAATAACCTTGCAATTATTCATAATCACTATTGATGTTATATAATTGATAATGTGTTCTAATTTTATATGTACATGTTACATTTTATGTTTATACATCTGGACATGTTATGGTAATGAACACTCCACTATTTTTGAAAATAGGCTCATTTTCCAACTCCCTTAGAGTTAAACAGTTGAGTTTTACCGTTTTCGAATCCATTCAGCTGATCTCCGGGTCTGGCTGTAGCACTTTTAGCTGCAGCTTAGCATAGATCATTGAATCGGATTAGACCATTAGCATCTCGCTCAGGCGCTGCGTGATATCATTGCGCCTGCTGCACCCATTGTACGGCAGCAAAGTTACTTGATTATTACGCCAGAATGAGAGTATAGTTCCTAGCCATATCGGCCTAGAAAATCGCAACTTTTAATTTTCTGTCGGTCTTAGTACACGATGTAACTACAGAAGAGTCAAGTTTTAAATTTTAAATTAAAATTTTAAATAGGAAAAATATCGAAACTCTTTTGGTAATTTTTGAGCGAGATGCTAACGGTCTAATTTTTTTTTTTTAACCTCCAGACCCGGATATCGGCTGAATGGAAATGGTTAACATTAGCTTAAATAGCAATGTTGGAAATACTTCTGTTTAAAACCATGACGGCAGCAAAGTTACTTGATTATTACGCCAGAATGAGAGTATAGTTCCTAGCCATATCGGCCTAGAAAATCGCAACTTTTAATTTTCTGTCGGTCTTAGTACACGATGTAACTACAGAAGAGTCAAGTTTTAAATAGGAAAAATATCGAAACTCTTTGGTAATTTTTGAGCGAGATGCCATTTTACTAATTTTTTTTTTTTAACCTCCAGACCCGGATATCGGCTGAATGGATTCGAAAACGGTAAAACTCAACTGTTTAACTATAGGGAGCCTATTTTCATAAATAGTGGAGTGTTCCTTTAAGGAAAATTTTATTTTATATTTTTTGAATTTTATATTTATACATATATAAAATTATGTTTTCCATAATTTTATATTATTCATCTGAATGCATTGTGGTAATGAGTAGCTTTTAGGGGTGTAACGGTTCACAAAATTCACAGTTCGGTTCGATACGACACAGTGGTGTCACGGTTCGGTACAATACGGGGTGGGGGTGGGGGGGGTTGGGTTAACATTAGCTTAAATAGCAATGTTGGAAATACTTCTGTTTAAAACCATGAAGGCGAGCCAATGGATATCACACAAGCAACATGCAAACTTTGCGCAAGAGTTATGCCGGTGAACATTTTAATCTCAGACAATTCACTATGTAGAAATGAAAGAGACAACGAGAGACGAATCAACATATGCTGATAACCGTATATAGCTAATTGTCTTTATTTATTCCCTTAATATTTTCTCTTGTGGCCCGTACATAGCGGAAAAAATATGAGAAGAAACGTATTTTGTGTTAAATAGCTTGTTTTTGAAAGTCGTGCTTAAAATAAAGTTATTTATTTCATTGATTTTTATTGATGACTGCAGTGTTAATATTTTAATTATAGACATATAATTCATTGTATAATAAACCTGTTTTAAAATACCTTTTTTTTCATTGAGTCAATAGCCTTATATTTTGTCATCCTCGCAGTGGGATTTTCATTTTTAATAATAAAAATAAGAATGTAACAGGCCTACATTAATTGAAAAAATGCAAAATCCTCTTAATATTGCCAATAATTGATGTTTTTGACAATATCTTTATGAAAAATACTTTTTATTTTAATTTTATTTTTATTATAGATATGAACACATTATGTTAATTAATAGCCATACATTTCCTTATGGATTTTTTTTTTAAACATTTGAACATGTTAAAGTAATGTATTATGTAATAAAAAATATTTTTTATGTTAAAATAATGTTTATGTATCTGGACACAACATGGCAATGAATAGCCTTGCAAAATATTATTTTGTTTTTTTTGGTGCAAAATGTGACCTATGTTTTCATGAGATTCTCCCATATACTGCCATATTACTGAGCTTTATCAAGTCTAGTTAGACTGGCAGGTTTGTGTGAGTGAGGTCTGTGGGGATCACCATAACTCAGAAACGGGGCCGGTGTGTGACAGGTAACACTCCAGGTGAACCTGCTGCATCACCATCTGTGCTCAAAGGAACACGAGAGTATTTCTATTGTCCTTCTGCACAAAGAGCCGCGCCGCCTGCCAGCCTGGAGCTGGACGCAACACTTTTACTACACTGTACTCATGCAGCCAAAACAACATGCACAATAAAGAGGCTGCTGTTTAATTGCTCAGGGAGTTCACATTTAACTATCAACTTTGTCCTTAATAAAACAAAACGAAATTCTGAACCTATAAAGGGGGCCTATAGGCGATTACTAAGGTCTTTTTCCTCATAAGAGACATCTGAGGAGCAGGAGATTTAAGCCAAATCTTAATTTGATACTGTTGGAATGTCATTGTTGGAATCAATTGTAAAAAAATAAAATAAAAAATGAAGACCTTTTAGAGATCTAATTTGTCTTATCAAATTGCAATAATATGGTGATCTTTTTGTCGCTATTGTTCAAAACTGTCACTATTCAATCACAACCACAACACAAACGAAAGAATTCACAAAGCTATTTATTGTTTATTATAAAGCTATTATTGTGGTTTTCCCACTTTAACATAATATGAAAAGGTGCTGATGTTGAAATGAGGGGTGATGCAATGTCATCAAGTTGATTATAGCAATATCACAATCATTTCTCATTTAGTACAGGTTCTGTAAGCGATTTCAGCCATTTTGATAATTTCAACCATTTTGCCATCATTGTAGAAACTGTTAATACAATGTATAGGCCTATTATAAAAACTTAAAAAGTGAATTGATAAATGCAAGTAACAATAATAGAACAGAATCTAATTATAGAGATACAGGTTACATTCATCTTAATATAATATTTAAAAAATACATGCACATTTTCATGTAAAATAATTTTTTTTTTAAATATTTTTTATTGATTTTTAATTAATAAAAGTGCATGAATAACCTTATAACTTGTTTTAAAAAATGCATACAAATATGTGTACACATATATATATATATATATATATATATATATATATATATATATACACTCACACACAAAAATACAACTATACAATTATATTCATAATACAAAATGTACCATGAAAATTAATTTACTTTTATAGTAAAATACACTGTATTAAAATTGTTTAAAAAAAATTAAGTAAAAGATATATAAATTGATGCCAAAATGTCATCCTGTTATCCTTGAAAGTTTGACATGGTCATCATTGTGTATTTGTTTTTACAGTGTAACTTAAACCACTCACACTTTTTTCCAAAAACCCATCCTTCAAAGGTTTGTAGAGCAACCGGACAGAGATTGTTTCTGACTGCCTTAAAAAGGAGTCTTAAATGTCCTTACTACCTGTGAGATATTCCTGAGGCTCATTTTATGTGTGCTTCTCCAAAAAAATAATTAAAATAATCGCTTACAGCACCTTTAATGGAGGTGTGCAATCATCTAAGCTAAATATCAAAGCATAGACAAGAAAAAGGGTGCTGACCACTTTATCCTCCTGTTGCAATTCCACAGGGGAAGAAAAGCAAGAGAGAAAGACAAGGGAAAAAAGAAGAGGGGAGAACAAGTGTGAGTGACATTCAGACACAAAGAGATGTTCATGTACTACTGCAGCCAATCACATCGCCGCTTATTACTCTGAGCAAAGTCATTTAAAAGCACTAAGACTGTACTGGGAGAGAGACATCAAAAGGTTAGATAAGCAGTTTCTGGCCTGATACATCCATCGCCCCGGGCCAACAGGCGAGGTGGTAAAAACAGAGGGAGTATCGCCCTCTTGTGGTCATCGCATTACCTGCTCAACCCTCAGCGACCAGCAGCAGGAAATAACAAACATGACTTCTGTATGCAAATTCACAATAAAAAGGACCTGCATTAATAAGTTCAACTATTAAAAAATTCAAATATGGCTTTTAGCATCTATTAATAACATCTCACTATCACATTTTAAAGGGGTCATATGATGCTGCTAAAAAAAACATTATTTTGTGTATTTGGTGTAATGAAATGTGTTTATGCGGTTTAAGGTTAAAAAAACACATTCTTTTCCACATACTGTACATTATTGTTTCTCCTCTACGCCCCGCCTTTCTGAAACGCGTCGATTTTTACAAAGCTCATCGGTCTGAAAAGCGAGGTGTGCTCTGATTGGCCAGCTATCCAGTGCGTTGTGATTGGCCGAATACCTCAAGCGTGTGATGGAAATGTTACGCCCCTACCATACTGTGATGCCTTGTTCCAGCCGGAGCAACGACACAAAAACATGAAAACCCATTATAAACGAGGCATTTGTTGCATCCAGTGGAGACATAATTACGGATTATAATGACTTACACTGTCTTTTTACGCGTTGCGCTGCGGCAACAACAATACTACAGCGAGAATAAAAGTTACGCCTTCTTTCTTTGCGTGAACATTTGGGCGGCCTTATGCAAATCTTCCCACATCGTGACGTAGACATGTGGGGGCGTGTTAGAACGAGCCGTTTTAGGTAGGTGTGGTTGACTCTAGGGCTGCACGATAAATCGCATGCGATATTTAACGCGCATCTTATCAGTAAAGCCGGTTCTGTAATCAGCGGTGAATCTCCATCACCTGCGGGCTTTCACATTGAGCAGCATTAACTACACAGAGCCGTTGTTCACTGACGAGCTGCGCAAAACCACGTTCATATTCGCGCGATTTTTGGCGCAGCTCGTCAGTGAACAACGGCTCTGTGTAGTTAATGCTGCTCAATATGAAAGCCCGCAGGTGATGGAGATTTACCGCTGATTACAGAACCAGCTTTACTGATAAGATGCGCGTTAAATATCGCATGCGATTTATCGTGCAGCCCTAGTTGACTCTTAACTTTTATTAAGAATATTTCCTTGGATTTGAGACTTTAGTCTTTGCAACTTTACAGATCTTCTTTATGCACCAAGAGCTTGTAACACACCAAAGAGAAAGGAAAAATTGAAATGCATCATATGACCCCTTTAAATATCAAATATGCTCAGAATGGCATACTATGCACCCTATTTTTGCAGTATGCTCTATGCAAACTAAGCACAGTATGTACATTTTTTTTTTGGTGCAGTATAAAACCAAAGCACAGTACATGAATATTGTATCCAACAATGCAATGCATACCACTTGATGTTAGAAATATAATTTTAGCTTATTGTTTGATTGGATTGCCAAAGGTTAAGACATTTTACTCAATACTGGACTATAACCCTATAAACCCTATACTGTATCATATTTGATTCACAATGCTTTAAATCCTCTAAACTACCAACATGATCAAAACGTTGCTGAGAATTGTTGCACACAATCTACTACATGTCTTCTGTCATCTGATTGGTCGTTTATACTTTTTTAGTACAATAAAAAGCATTTAGGTATAATTCTAAAAACATTCACCTTCAGCTGGCTAACATGTCAATTTGCTGTGAAATCTTGATTTTATGAAATAAATCTAAGAATAGCTTGTTAGTAATATTTCAAGATGAACACTAGACTGAAGCAAGGTTTACATAATTATCAATATTTGTGACCCTGGAGCACAAAACCAGTCTTAAATTGCACGGGTATGTTTGTAGCAATAGCCAAAAATACATTGTATGGGTCAAAATGATCGATTTTTCTTTTATGCCAAAAATCATTAGGATATTAAATAAAGATCATGTTCCATGGAAGATATTTAGTAAATTTCCTACCATATATACATATCAAAACTTCATTTTTGATTAGTAATATGCATTGCTAAGGACTTAATTTGGACAACTTTAAAGGAGATTTTCACAAAATATCAATTTGATTTCAGATTTTCAAATAGTTGTATCTCGGCCAAATATTTTTCGATCCTAATAAACCGTACATCAATGGAAGGCTTATTTATTAAGCTTTCAGATTATGTATACATCTCAATTTAAAAAAATTCACACTTAAGACTGGTTTTGTGATCCAGGGTCACATTTTATAAACAAAACAAAATCATGTTGAAATGCATCAAATATGATGCATCAGGCTTTTGAGAAACATTTATTTACAATCATTTCTCTTTTAATCATCATTGTATTGCACTGTATTATATGTGTTACCCCACTACAACTACAAAGCTTTGATCATAAAACTAAGCATTTATATATCTTACGATCTATAAATGTATATATCTACTTATACATCTTTGTCTAAATGTTCCATTTCAAAAGATTTTTCTGATTATTATTTCAAACGTTAGGCTTTAGAGGTTTAAAAGTGCAAAATAACCATATTTATTTCAAAGATGCTAAAAAGACACTACTAGTCATGCGACAACAGCGTGGTATACTACCTTTTGCGATATTTCTCACTTTGTAAGTTATTTAAAAAATAGTTGGCAGCATGCCATGCATACTGCACCGTATGCTATTTTTCATTCTGAACACAGCCATCATGACAAGTGTTGAGGTCCAGCTGAAGTCAGTGCTTGCGTATGAACGTCTGTGTGATCTGAGGAGCGTTATGGCTGTACCTTGTTAGAGCGCAGTGAAACTCTTCCTCCACAGCGAGCGCAGAACTTGGTTTGGCAATAAGAACAGAGGTGGCCGCAGCCGTCGGCAAACTTGGTTTTATGGCAGATTCCGCAGGTGGGGGCTTCACTCTTCTGCTCCTGGGTGCTCGGTGCCTCGTCCCCCATCTTCTTCACCTGCTCCTTATACATTTCAAATTGCTGGTGCAATTTCCTGCAGGGAACAAAACACAGCAATTCAGAACACAGCAAGAAAACATGTTATAAGTTTAAATATTACTAAGCTAATAATACACTTCAGAAATGGGACGCTGGGGTATTGTCATGGGTTATAACCAAAAGGATCATTTTACTGCTCAGAGGCTGCTCATTAGACTTGATTGACTTGTGTTTCATTCAAATATTAACGTTTTCTCAGTTAATTACGCTAAAAACCTTTTAAAAATAAAATACAAAAACAATTGCTTATATAGTAATAGTATACAGCTAAAAAATGAATATGAAGACTAACAAAGTCCCCATTTGCTCTCCATGTCATCATCTTGTGATCTCAAACATTTTTTGAAAGAAATGAATTTTTAATCAGTAAGAATGCATATTATTGATCAAAAGAGATAGTTGTTAAAAATGTTACAAAAGATTTCTCTTTTAAATAAATGCTGTTCTTTTGAACATTCTATTCAAAGATTTCTGAAAAAGTGTGTCACCGTTTCCTCAAAAACAATAAAAACGGTTTTCAACACTGATAATAAATGTTTCTTAAGCACCAAATCAGCATATTCTAAAAGTGACAGTGAAGACTGGATTAATGACACTGAAAATCCTGCTAAACAAACTACATTTTAAAATATATTGAACTAGAAAACAGTTATTTTAAATTGTAATATTATTTTACAACATTAATGTTTTTACTGTATTTGTGATCAATAAATGCAGCTTTGGTGATTTATATATATATTTTTACTCGTACACAATTAAAAAAAACTATATACAATATCATAAAATGTTTTTGAATAAATCCTCAAAACACATTGTACTAAAAAGGAAACCCACATTCACAATGAAATATGCACAGCATCAAAATAATGGCTTATAACTATGTTTTGCTGGTTGTCAATAAGTTTATTTCAAAGATGCTAAAAAGACACTACTAGTCATGCGACAACAGCGTGGTATACTACCTTTTGCGATATTTCTCACTTTGTAAGTTATTTAAAAAATAGTTGGCAGCATGCCATGCATACTGCACCGTATGCTATTTTTCATTCTGAACACAGCCATCATGACAAGTGTTGAGGTCCAGCTGAAGTCAGTGCTTGCGTATGAACGTCTGTGTGATCTGAGGAGCGTTACGGCTGTACCTTGTTAGAGCGCAGTGAAACTCTTCCTCCACAGCGAGCGCAGAACTTGGTTTGGCAATAAGAACAGAGGTGGCCGCAGCCGTCGGCAAACTTGGTTTTATGGCAGATTCCGCAGGTGGGGGCTTCACTCTTCTGCTCCTGGGTGCTCGGTGCCTCGTCCCCCATCTTCTTCACCTGCTCCTTATACATTTCAAATTGCTGGTGCAATTTCCTGCAGGGAACAAAACACAGCAATTCAGAACACAGCAAGAAAACATGTTATAAGTTTAAATATTACTAAGCTAATAATACACTTCAGAAATGGGACGCTGGGGTATTGTCATGGGTTATAACCAAAAGGATCATTTTACTGCTCAGAGGCTGCTCATTAGACTTGATTGACTTGTGTTTCATTCAAATATTAACGTTTTCTCAGTTAATTACGCTAAAAACCTTTTAAAAATAAAATACAAAAACAATTGCTTATATAGTAATAGTATACAGCTAAAAAATGAATATGAAGACTAACAAAGTCCCCATTTGCTCTCCATGTCATCATCTTGTGATCTCAAACATTTTTTGAAAGAAATGAATTTTTAATCAGTAAGAATGCATATTATTGATCAAAAGAGATAGTTGTTAAAAATGTTACAAAAGATTTCTCTTTTAAATAAATGCTGTTCTTTTGAACATTCTATTCAAAGATTTCTGAAAAAGTGTGTCACCGTTTCCTCAAAAACAATAAAAACGGTTTTCAACACTGATAATAAATGTTTCTTAAGCACCAAATCAGCATATTCTAAAAGTGACAGTGAAGACTGGATTAATGACACTGAAAATCCTGCTAAACAAACTACATTTTAAAATATATTGAACTAGAAAACAGTTATTTTAAATTGTAATATTATTTTACAACATTGTTTTTACTGTATTTGTGATCAATAAATGCAGCTTTGGTGATTTATATATATATTTTTACTCGTACACAATTAAAAAAAACTATATACAATATCATAAAATGTTTTTGAATAAATCCTCAAAACACATTGTACTAAAAAGGAAACCCACATTCACAATGAAATATGCACAGCATCAAAATAATGGCTTATAACTATGTTTTGCTGGTTGTCAATAAGCACTAGCTCTGATTAAACTCTGTTACGACTGCAGGTGTCAGACTGACACTCGACAGAAATAAGAACTGTCTGTTCTTCAGCCCACTTCACGTGCAGCCTTGAGACTATTTGTGGCTGAATTCATGCAAAGATAACACGTCAAGCTCACGTGCATCACCTCATATAGACTGTAAATCACGGATGTAGACATGACAGAGCTGCCCACAGTTCCAACTACAAAACCTGATCATTTATCAATGCATTCAAAATCAAATAAATATCAACTTGATCTTGAGCAGGCAGATCACCTTGAGCGTGTTTATATAAGGGTGGTGTTTAATCATGCACCTTCTCATTACTGTAAGAGAGCAGAGGGGGTCAAAGGCTTGAGACAGACCCTGAAACGCTAGCTGAAGGCACGCATGACGCACATGCATTTTGTATGTCCCCTGTCAATCAACCGTAGCCGTGGAAACCGAACACTGGGGGCTAACGCCATAAGCTGTCGATTAGAGGTTTGGTCCCACATCTTCCCCTGCAACATTCATTAGCAGGCTGAATTATTGAACACGCTGATCTATTTACTACAGCAGAACGCCTGGGTGTTACCCAGAATTCACCTGGACACCTCCCACTAAACTCAAACTTGAGCACATTCTCACGCTAATCACTAACTCTGACAGGAGAGTTTGGATGCTTAATGCAAAGGAGTTTGTTTCATGTCAATTTAATGAACACAAATGTCATTGAACTTGTATTAGTCTTCTTTGACTTCAGCATAAACCAATTGATAAAAAAAACTAAAATAGCAAACCATGTTTGATTCACATATATAGTCTGTAATACCTGGAGAAAGCTATACATTAGCAATCCCATTCATTGCACTAGCATATTTAGTCTATTTCACACTTGTAAAAGTCCCACTGGTGAAATACCTACTATATTGTAGTACTGTATTGGATATACATGTTGGTTTTATCAGAATGCACCGACAATATTTTTGACCAGTGTTAACATCAACTAAAACTATTAAAAACATGTTTTGTTAAGTGAAATAAAATAAAATAAAATAAAAATGAGATGAAAGACAAATGAAAATGATAAATGTTGCTGAAATAATGGAAATAAGTTGAGGCACTTAAATTAACTGTAAATAAATATAAAGTAAAAACTGAACTACAATTCATGTGAAATAAAAATACGTTTTTATATTAAGGTAAAAAAAAAATTAAACCTAAAGAGTAATTTTTTTTTGTTTTAAATGGGTTGAATGCTACAAATGAATGACAAAAGGCCATACAAATAAATGGGTAAAATTATAGTCAATGTGAAATTGAAGTGACATTTAACTGAATGTGAAATTAGAAGTCAAATTAAAGGTTTAAGTTAAAAACAAAAGATCAAATAAAAGCATATTATATATAAGCATATTAGTCAAATTTTTGAACAGTAAGATTTTTAATGTTTTTTTAAAGAAGTCTCTTCTGCTCACCGAACCTGCATTTATTTGATCCAAAGTACAGTAAAATCAGTAATATTGTGAAATATTTTTACTATTTAAAATAACTACTTTCTATTTGAATATATTTTAAAATGTAATTTATTCCTGTGATCAAATCTAAATTTTCAGCATCATTACACCAGTCTTCAGTGTCACATGACCCTTCAGAAATCATTCTAATATGCTGATTTGCTGTTCAAGAAACATTTATTATTATTATTATTATTATTATCAATATTTAAACCCGTTGAGTAAATTTTTTTCTGGATTCTTTGATGAATAGAAAGAACCAAAGATCAGCATTTATCTGAAATAAAAAGCTTTTGTAACATTATACACTATACCATTCAAAAGCTTGGAGTTAATATTTTTTTATTTTGGAAAGAAATTATAGAAATTAATACTTTCATTTAACAAGAATGCTTTAAATTGATCAAATGTGATGATAAAGACATTTATAATGTTACAAAAGATTTCTATTTCAGATAAATGCTGTTCTTCTGAACTTTCTATTCATCAAA